GTGTGTGTGTGTGTGTGTGTGTGTGTGTGTGTGTGTGTGTGCGTTTGCAGCAGGGAAAGGTAAGAGAAGCCGCTCACTTCTATCAGTCAGCCCTGCAGAAGTTTCCTGGAGATGAGCTGAAGGCCTTCAAACAGCTCAGAGTGTGCGTGTTGCTCAACTTGTCCCGCTGCCGCCGAAAAATGAACGTGAGTCTCCACCAGGCAGAGTTTGTTCTGTTTTCAGTCAGCAGAGTAGCTCAGAGCAGATCCTGCAGGTCTTCTGGCTCATAGATTCAGACTTCCAATGTGACCCATCACAGGTTCAGCTTCCTGTTCGCAGATTAAACTCCTCCTGACTAATACGACCACTTCGTTACTGCCTTCATGTTGTTGCTGATTTTATTTCAGTCTGATGATTTCACATAAAAAACCCCAGACTCAGCATAACAGAATAAAAGGGCTGTCAAAGAAGAAAGTGGCGTTAGCTCCAACATGAGCTCAGATGATGACGATTAGTTCGCCTCACCCTCTGCGTCTACTGCTTGACTATTATTTGTCCAATCATACTTAAGAAGCGATTATACAAGTGTTTAAAGAGATCCACAATTAGTTGTAACATTAGACTTTATTTGATAAACATTTATTTTAAATGTAAAATAAAGACTGGAAAAACACTGTAGACTGTTTAGTTTTGTAAATTTTTAAAAATATATTTTAACACGGACAGGCCGTTTTTAGCCTGGCCCTTGCTTTCCTACGCAGATCCGCTCAATTCTAGTTTCCCTTCACTGCTCCGTCTGGGACTTCTCCCATTGACAAGGATTTCGCTGGAAGATTTTTAGCCGGGCCAATCAGAGAACAGAATGTCGATGTTCTGCGCAGTGACTGCTAGTTATTTTAGCATACGGCAGTGGAGGATGAGAATGAAGCCAGTCTGTGTTGATAAGGCTTCTAAATTAAATTAAATTTGTCTGACAAAGCAGCAGCTCTCATTTACAGTCGTCTTGTTTGKCTCKGTACTTCTCTCCTCTCAGTAGGGTTGTTTACAGCACACACGATTTCCGGTTAGCTTCTTAGCTTAGCCTCCTTCACACCAACAACACACACACACACTTCAGCAGAGGCCACGCCTCCTGCAAGAAATCAATTCTCTATGCAGCAAGTCCAGACCCTTGTACGAAGCAAAGTGAAGGGCAGGGTCTGGTTTTAACCAGGCTAGGCCATTTTATTTACACGCAAAGCATTCTGGGTGAATGATGATGTGGATAGGTCCTCGATGTGAGCGAGCTATATCCACCCTGAAGGTTAATCTTGGACAATATCTGACGATTGGCTCTTTTAAATGAAACCAGAGAGCATTGACAGAAGGTAGAAATGACTCAGCCTGGAACTGAAAATATGGATGGAGGACAACAGAGCTGCTTCATGGAAGAAGAACCTCAGCTTAGCCTGTTAGCCTTTACACTAGTGTCGTCACTTTATTGCCTTATACTTATTAGCTTGGCGCAAGCACGACAAACTAATAGGCTAAACTGAGGTCCTCCGTCTAAATTTTCAGTTGCAGGCTGAGTCATTTTTGTGTTCCCCTCTCTGTCATGTGGATGGAGGACCTCAGTGATGAGAGGAGAATGTGTAGCGCTGAGCTCCATCTATATTTTCAGTTCCAGGCTGAGTCATTTCTACCTTCTCCTCTCTGTCAATGCTCTCTGGTATCATTTAAAAGAGCCAATCGTCAGATATTGTCCAAGATTAACCTTCAGGGTGAATATAGCTCGCTCACACCGAGGACCTGTTGATG